AAATAAATAAATAAATAAATAAATAAAAAAACACAATTGGTTTTGAAAATTTTACAGAGTCATTCTTGAATCAACGTCATACTCAACTGTTGCGCTTACTCACACACTTACATACCCAATGCTAATGCATGAAATAAATAAATATCCTTTGTCCCCTGGGGTAGTAGGATTAATGTATTTTGTATTTTATATGTTTATTATAATTTTATCTTGTATTTTTAAATCATCATGATGTCTTGTATTTTAATATATTTTAAGTCCAGGGCCCCTCTGGATATCAGCCTCGTCACTGAATGGGCCACCCTGGCTAAATAAAGTTTACCTTTACCTATATTCAGGTGAGCTGTTAGTTATTTTCTTTGGGACTCTGTGATGGGAGGTAGTGGTGAGTTGTGTTCTCAGAACTTAATATTTGCTTTGGCTGGTTAATTACTAAACTGGACATTCATAAATTTGACTTATGCAGACCATGTTTACAGAAAACAAATACTGTGAAATAACTTCATGAATAATGTGATCCAGCAGCCTCTTTCAAATATACAAAACTTAATTTTCTTTTACGCAATTAAAATCTGAATTAATCAAAATTAACATTTAGACATCAAACTGAAAGGTCTCAAAATTGCCAGTCTTTCTCCTTTCCTTGCACTCCATTTTTTTAAGGTTGTCAAGGTTACACCTCAGGCAACAACTGTTGTCACTCATTTTTGCAGCCCTTCACTTATTTAACTTTTTTTAATTATTATTTCAGTGGTGAGACTTTGACGAGCAGAGTAACCAGATTAAATTAGCAAGGACAGGAAAGCTGGAGAATAGGTTTGTATTGCATTTAACATCACTATGACCCTGACTCGTCCCCAATTGTCTTTTTATAATCTCGTACAGCGCGTGCAGAACAGGGCCAGGTGGGAGTGCAGGGTGAGATGTGCAGGGAGAAAGCAAGATAGGGAGACATTGTCTTCTCCCTTTTCCCCTTCCCATCGCCTCTTGCTCACCTTCGTGCCACGCGTATGAAGATGACTGGGGACAAGTCACCCATTATAGACATGTTGGACATCATTAATATATGATTTTTCCTCTTTACTCATTCGTCATCTTTGACCAGTCACTATTGGAATTTGAACATTTTTTCTGTTTTCCACTATACACCAGTACCCTTTAGGCTCTACTGGTGCAATGTAACACAAAATCGGCCAGTCATGACATGTCAAACAAGATGGGATGACATATAAGCCTATTCTGTAAGGCCTGGTTCACACTAGCTACATAAAGACATACCAGGTAACAACATGAAATCACTGTTGGTTATGTGAACATCAACATAGACATAAGGAAAGAATCGGTTTTTTCCTTATGCTATATTGTAGTTACTCTGGTGTTGTTATTTAAAATGTCATTATGTCAGAATGTTCATACAGCAAAACATAGTGATATAACATTCTTCTGCTGCTGTTATGTTTATGTTGTTCTGTCGCTAATGTGAACTAAGGCTAACAGTCAACATCATTTCAGCATTAATGGCCAGGACCAAAACATGTTTGCAACTTGGAACCAACTAATGCTGAAAAAAGTGCACCATATGATAATTTAAAATGCTTACTTGCTATTTCACTGGGTTACAAGAGAGAGGCTGGATGGGAAAATAATTCACTTTCCATCCCGCTGCATGGTGTTTGCTACATTTATTCCATTGAGCTTCACTGCCAAAATTCTACAAAATCTGATTATCAGATATCACTACTATTTCTAGCTTTTAAATCTTTACCTCATTGAAAGCATGCAATGGAATTGCTTGTAAACAAAAATCTCAGTGTAAAAAAAAAAACTAGCAACTTGAAGAGTTCATAAAAAACAAACACACTTTTGAAAAACTGTTTCTGATGGCGATGTATAATAAAAACATGTTAATCAGACAATAATTATTGATAATTCAGTAATATTATTATTCAACAGACTGTGCACAGTGTTATTATGTTTCCATAAAAATGTGTTATATATTTTACTAAAAGCCTCATTAAGCCTGCACACAAGTCAGTGTAAGAAGGTTAATTAACTTAGCACACTCCCCTTATATGTCGCCAAAATGCCAGTGACTGTGAGCCGCCATAAACCCCAGGCAAGATACTGCTCTGGCGCATAACAAATGTAGACTAACCCTGGCTGTGAATACTGATTATTATCTGTGATGTTAAATATGAGCTTAACTTTGCCCTCACGAAACCGATTCCCCCAGCAACTTTGCAGTAGTTATTATTATTTTATGAACACATTTGGGTTTGTCCGAGATAAATTGGTGGCAGCACCTACAAGTACATTTAACAACTTATAAAGAGCCAAACTTTGCTGTCAGCATTCAGTTCGGACAGTCTGAAGAATTTAAAGAAAATCATGGAAACTTGTAAATCTGAATTAAAATTTCACTCTAATTCTATTTAGATCAGCTGATTTTGATTTGAACTCCATGGCCTAGAGTACTAAAAAACACAGCTGTCCTAATAAGATATAACAATGATTTTTCTCCTGGTATATTAATTGTAACTTAGTTTCTTTTTAAAAAAATATTTCTTTCAGAGGACAGAAACCAACGACTAGAAAAGTATTCTTTTTTATGAAACTGGCCAGTAAATATTCATTTCAAGTTTGATTCCGTAATTTTTCTACGTCTTTCAGAGCATAGCACTACAGTTGAATGCATGACCTGACTCAGTAGGAAGCGTGATCTATTAACTAGCACTTGTCATTCTCAAACTTCCGTTCTGATGCCAAAATGATGGTGTTACGCGAAATCTTCCTTGATGATGTCTGTAACAAAACAAGTCTAAAGAATACATGCAAATTATATATATTGTCCTCATGTTTAAAACTTAATATCCTATTTTTTACACGCTTCTGTTATTCAAGAGGAAAAAATTGTTCACGACAGCTTGCGGAGATTAAAATACAACGTGCAGCAATGTTGACTTGACGGGACAAGTAAGTTCGTATCCAAGACTGACCGTCTCTCATTCTTAGACAGGAAGGCTCTTTCCTGATAGCTTAAATCTACAAAAGACTCTCAATAATCCTTCTGCCAATATTCTACTGTTACAAATTGTCACGTAGGAGCCATTACATCTTGACGACCTCATATTTGCAAAAATAGTTGGCAACAAAAAGGGTTCGAAAACCACAGCTCTAACATTGCTATTGTTTGAGGGGTCAAGTACAGATCTCGAGAAATAAATTAAACCCACAAATTGTCTAATGGCAACTTTTTCACTCGAGTTATCTCTTGTCAATCGGCGTTTTCGCAAAGAGTTAAGCGTTCGGTGGACGTTCTTAACCAAACAATTTTACTCAATTTTAGCACATTTAGACGATAAATTCCCTTTAAATAAATTTGGAACTCATTAGCAATGAATTGCTTTTAAACAACTAGAACGGAGTGCAAAGTGTTACGCATCAATTCACGGCAAAACAGAGAACCAATTAAACGCGACCGATCTTTCGTGCGAAATTTCCCGTTCAGCGTGTGATAAATCATCACACTCAATATTTCACACATCAGTTTTCAATCGCGTTGACGGCGCGATGCAGATGAAAAGCACTGAATTTTTTGAATGATCGAGAAAAACATCTTTCCTCCTTCCCTCGAGGTATGCGACAGAGAAGAGGAACTGGCTGCACTAGCAATTACGGTGTAATTTCCTAAGCACGTGTGCCGCCAGAGTCGGTCGAAATATAGGCGAACAAATTTTATGCACAGTACAACTGGCGCCTTTCGAAGAATGGGTAATTGACCTGGGGGCACAAAGCGTGGCCTTGAAAGGGAAGCCGAAAGGACAAATACTAAAGCTTTGTCTACAACTGATCTAATATTTATGCGTAAGGCACATTTGCGTTCCGCAGTGAAGTACTTGAAACTTAGAAACTTCAATATATACGCCACACGAAGGAAAGAGAAATTTAGGCGCTCTGCCCAAAGCTGAAAGGATACAAATCGAGAAACTATTACCTCCAATTAGCACAGTATTTATGCCTGTCTGTCCCGATACTTTCGAATCAGCTTATCAATGAGAAGCATCTTTCATTTTCGTCATATTTTCGGTGTACCTGTAAGTCAACAAGAATTAGATAAAATCCTGTTTCGCTTTTGTTTGCGCTGCTATCGAATGTCCTCGGGCGCCATCTTTGCCAAACACCGTCAGTAGACCTATCACGGGACGTCGGCGGGATCACAAAGGAATACAAAAACAGTGGGGTGGAGTAATTTTCACGCAATATTTACTTCCCAAAACTGAGGAAGATAGATCCCTTTTCCAGCCAAATAAGATCATTTATGAAACTAAATCACGCTTTTTACTAAAGGGAAGGTTTTTCTTACGGAAATTTGTAGATTGCAGGCGATGATTGCTTAACAACATTGAACACTTCCACTACATCCCTACCCTCCCCATCCATCAGAATCACTTGCAATCAAGATTTCCGACCGAGGACAATGGCAAACCCCATGACACCTACTGACCGAAAAGAAGTTAGTTAAAGCTCTCAAGAAAAAAGTATTTCCCACTGGTTTTAAATCAAATTTATGGTTAAAAATTTGAAAACAATTTAGATCTTATATTGGTCGTCTTCTCACGCGTATCTACAAGATACATTGCTTCCATGTTTTTTTTTGTTTCTTTTTTTCTATAAAGTTGCCACCCGTCCCCACTCCGGTAATGTTTCAGTATGCCTCCCCACAGTACTCCCATGGAAAACGCTCGCCAACAACTCTTTTCGTCTCTGTCTTGGCTAGACAAGACGGCTATGCTTAGAAGTGAAGCCTTTTCTTCTTCATCACGTATGTGAAAGGAAACGATGGGCAACGCGCCTTGCTCGAAAAGAGAACAGCTCGATGTAAGCCCCGAAGTTCTTGTTTGTAGGTTGAAAAGAGCTGCATATAAAGGCTCAAAGAAGGATCTTCGTGAGCTCCTTAAACTGGGGGCACCTATCGATGGATGTCACAAGTATGGGAAGACTGCACTCCACGAAGCTGTGAGACACGGACAATTTAGATGCGTCGAAATTCTACTGAACTATCGAGCAAATGTAAATATAGCGACTTATGATGGCCTTACGCCATTACACGAAGCAGCTGAACAGGGCTTTGTAGATTGTTTGACAGCGCTTTTAAATCATGGCGCTGAAGTAAATGCCGCGACCAGAAGTCAGTGGACAGCCTTGCATTATGCAGCGAGAAATGGACACAGAGATTGTTTAGAAGTCCTTTTACAACATGGGGCTAATGTAAATGCAACCGCAAATGGTGGTTGGAGACCTTTGCACACGGCTGTTCGGCATGGACATACAATGTGTGTTGAACTTTTACTACTCTATAACGCTGAAGTGGACCCTCCTTTGGTACCTTCTTGGCGGGTAAGATGTCGCGCTTCGCACGTCTAGTGCGTTTCGCCGTTCATTGATTCGTCGTGATTTTATTGTAGTTGTTAGTTCTTGCAGAGTATCGAATCTGCATGCTGCCCCATGTTTATTAGCTCACTGATATTTTTTTTGTGTGTTCGAGAAGCGCAGTTGGGGGGAGCTGTGAAAGCTATAAATTTTAAAAGGAGGACATGTTTTTGGCGATATGAACCAGTTTCAAAGAATCGTAACATCATTATAATAGGGAAGATTCTAAACTACTGCTTTGATCTCAGAGCGAGTTTCGCTGAGTTTCCCGTTCTGGTAGTGACGATCGAACGAGCATATGTGAATCGCAACTTAACCGTGATTGAACAGTTCTGAGCTGGCCGTAATGCAGTAACCCTATAATTTTAATTGCAGTTACAGAAGTTCTGTTTACGTTTTAAAAAGGTCGTATTCTCCGCAGGAGACAGAAAATTTTCGTGGCATTCGGCCTCCTCAGCAGGCGAAAAACATGGATCGAACGATTCTTTCTCTTTTTGAATCGTTCATCTCTCCCCACAGGCTCAAATCGCTTATTCAAAACAACATTTGACGTGTGGTAATTAATTTTTTGACCGAGTGGTATTGCGTTTCTTTTTGGCGTCGTGTTGAAATCTTTTATGCCGTTTCTAAATGGGGAACACTCTGTTATTTTGGAGAGCTGTTGAATTTTCATTTATCCGTATTTCGAGTCTGGAAGTCGTAAAGACAAACCTCTGTCTCCACGAAGTCTGTGCATATTGGAGTTTCATTGTATTTTGTGACAACCTGTACTAAATATAATCCTTCATATCTTCATACCGCGAAAAAACTTAAGTAGGCTTTGGATTATTTTTCTCTCTACGCATTTCGGCGGAGAATTTTTACCGAGCTGCGTTCAGATATCTGGAATCGTAGACCTCTGGGGCCAATGTTTATTTTTATAGAAACCATTTTGTCTGACAGAAATCATCACACGGTGGCTGTTATTTATACTCCCAATTTATACCTTTTCCTTCAGTATTCACAATTTATGTCATTCTTTGATTAATGGCCAGGGGCCAATTGTGTTCCGTTGAATCTTAGACTTCTTTCATTGGCATCTGGTTTTAATTTACTCGACCAAAGTAGATTTGAAAATACATTTACGCTGTGTTTCGTGTGCACTGTTTGAAGATCCAGATTTTTCGCGGATTTTTCCGAAATGTAGAAACTGTTATCAAGTGTTGTGATTGCAAAGAATGTCTTAAGGTGGGGTTATGCTATATTACTTGCAGTTATTCACGTTTCTAGAGCATGTAATGGTCATGACAAGGGCACTGAAGGACCAAGATTTGTCATTTTCTCCCGACAATATTTCCTATTTCGGGCACTTGGGTATAAATGACAGATATTTTTGTTACTCTTGGGTTAGTAAGGGCCGGAATTTGACTGAAGTACAAGCCGAGGCGCAAGTTTTCCCATGCATCACAAAAGGATGGCAAGATTGTTATCTAATAGCAGATAAATTGTACTGCCATGGTATATGAGTTCCTTATCACAAAGAACGTTCAAATTATGCCAACAATTTCGCCCCCCAGACTGGTCGACCTAACTTTTAAACCTCTACCATATTACTTTTTCACTGTCTGTAAGCTCAAATTTAGTAACAACGTGTTATGTCATTCGAAGATTGAAAGGTAATCAAGACGTCCTAGCAAAAATTCAGTTTACTGTTTCAGCCCTGAGGACATTTACATTTGCTATAACCATTCATCAGGAGGGTTTTACAAGTAATATTTCAGGGTGCTTAACAGCTTTTACCAAGGTTTTATCTTGTGCTGAAGCAATATTGCTCTTGGGATAAGCCAAACTCAAATGAGATTGGTTTGTTTTATAAGCATCCTCTTTCTACTTTAACAAGAATTTTTCACGGTATTTAACTCTGACCATGTGCCACAAGTACGGATGAATTTGCATTTTTCAGTCAGTTCAGGGTCGTTTTTTTTTTTTTTTTTTCGCTAGAACCATCTGCCAGTCTGGCAGGTGAATTAAAAAAGAATTCATTTCTTTCTTAACAAAGTTCCTTGTATTTACATCCTCTCATCAAATCTCTTAGAAACTTGAGTCATTGCTGGAGGTGAAAGAGCCCCTAATGCTGACGATAGTTTCTTCTTGATTGAACTAACCTGCTTAAACTTCCCTGGGGTGAAATTAATTCTCTGACTCGTTTAACACAATGAGTTAATTGCCACAAACACCTTCTCATGCTAAGAAATTAACTTTGTTTAGAACTTGTCACTGCAGCCGTTGATCGCTATGGAGATGTTTTAAACATTTTTATCTTTTCAAGCTTGTTCACAGTAGTTCTGTTTTAATTTCACAGCTTTGACACTCAGATGTGATAACAATTCATAACATATGCAAATTCTTTCAAATACAATTGGGTCAATTGAGAATGAAAATAATTTGAGAATTTATAATAAAGATAATGTGGTAATAATTTTGTAAAAAAGTTGAAACTTTCAACATTTTGAATGATCTTTCAAGAATAACTGATTCAATCACCTGATTTGTTTTGCAAATAAACTTTATTGCCGACATTTTAGCAAGATCTTTGTGGTTTCCCTAGTGAAGTGTTAAGGTGATCTTGAAATAGGCAGCATTTAATTTGCAAAAGCATTGCTAATGAGTGGAAAACAGTAAGATATGTTTAGTCTGAACAGCTGTAGAGAGGAAAAAATGTTGTCAAGTGCTTGTCTGTTTCTTGCCAATTTCAGACTGTTTGGTTGTAACACAAACCAGCTGTTACCCTTAAGATATGCTTGCAACGGAGACAAGATATCTGTGTTTTGTACGTTTTAAATTATAAACTAGGCTGTCCAGCGTGAACGGGGCAACACCATATAGCCGTTTGGAACTTAACAGGGTACTTCTGGCTTTGTATCAAATCATATTGATTGGTTTAACAAATTCCTTAGCTTAGACTCTTTTGATAATCTTAAAAACACATCTAGTTTTGTTAGCTGCTGCCACCTTGTATCAAGTTTTTCTTGGAATCCATTTGAATGTTGTCTCTCCTTTTCAGAGCTGTTATCCACATCACTGAGGTTCTCAGTTAACTATTCTTTAAAATTTTTCAGCGTACAAAATGTACTTTGAGAATAAATTGCAATCATTCCTTTCAGATGAACTTTTAGCAGTTTGTTATGTTTAGAGAAAACATCCTTTAGGTCATTTCTGTATGTAAAGGGTCACTATATTGTTAAGCACAGCGGTTTAATCCTTTTTGTGGTTGCACATATGACAAAAGGTTAATTTAATTTGGGCATTTGTATATGGCCCTTTCACTATTAATTATTTCTAGTGTATTTTGCGAATTACTTTTAACAACTGAATGCGGAGTTACAACTTCCTGTTAGCTGTAGATTAGGATCATATAACAAAAGTTGCATCACAATGGATGGGGGAGGGGGGTGGGGGACCACAATAGACCAGCATTCTTGGGAGGTATAGCTGTTCCAGATACTGCAGTCTGTCAGTAGTGTTAATAAACTGATGAAAAAAAACTGGTGAAAAATTGAACCTGTTCTATTTATTGTAATTGTTTTAGATTCTTCAAGTCCCTCTTCATCATGCAGCAGAATACGGGCATTTAGCATGCTTAGAGGCACTGCTTCGGCAAGGTGCTGACGTCAATTCCAAGACAGCTGAAGGATGGACAGCTATGCACTCAGCAGCACTGTATGGACGCACTTCTTGTGTAGAAGCACTAATCAGGTAAGTTATTGAAAATTTGAAACAGTGTTCAGGGGTTTCAGTAATGTTTTCAGCAGGAGGGTAACTGGTTTTCCCGAGCAGGCCAAACGTTTTGAACTGAACTTCTTTATAAGAAAAACTTTCCTCTAGATGGTCAAACCAGGCAGGCAAAACCAACCTCTTAGCTGGTCAATTTTCCTGGTGCCTGGCCCTTAATGAAACCCGAGTGTTGCTCAAGCATTTCTACCAATCAAAAATCCATTCCTGGATCTGTTAAGCACTTAAAGCAAATTTATTGTAACTGATAGAGAGATGGAAAACAAGGAATAACCACAGACTACATATTATGCAGTGTTCATGTGCAAAATTTGCAGAACATTTTATAGCATAGTTTTATGACATTACTTGGCAAGCTTCCAAATCTTCTGTTTGAAATCATGTCCTCAGACACATTATTAATGGCTATCAGGAACCTGCTCTCATATCATCAAAGATTTTAGCATTTTCAAGAGGACTTCATTTTTCGAGTGGTTTTCAAAAGCTCAAGTTTGCTATAGGAAATCGCTGTGAAAATTGGATCAGCTTAAGCCATTGTCATCGTCATCATCATCATGCTGATAAAAACCTGATATATTTCCAACATTTTAATACCAGCCAAAATAATATTTATTTTAGTTCCCTTCACTTCCTTCTTGACTGAATAAGAGCCGTGAGAAAAGTACAAATCTCTTTTAGAAGTTTGTCTGTTTAGTGTATCTTGTGACATGTGAAAGACCATTGATTATTATTTGTGGGAGATCACAAATTTGTCTGCAGCTATCAGCATTATTTACCAAATTTCTTTGAGGTTAATTTTAGCATTTTCTGCAGTAGAATGATCTATTTGTTCTTTGGCTAGTGATGTAAATATTACTTTCGCTACCAGTAAGCAAAAGATTTATCAGCACTCCTGTTAGTACCAGTTATTCCTGTTAGTATCAGTTATTCCTGTTTTTGTGTATAGTCAAAGCAATCTTGGGAATGTTTCATCACTTGTGAAACATTGTTGTTTTGTGTGACTCGACTAGCTGTTTGTACATATTATTCTGATCCTTTATTGTTTGGAATTTCTTATCAGGCTCGTCAAAAGTAACTGGCAAAAATGACCATCTACATGTACTTTATGATCTCTGCCTGCTACTCTGCTCTCTATTTGTCTTTAGAAAAAGATAACAAGATCAGGCACAAGCTCAAACAATAATGCCCTCTACTTCAAAACTTAGTGATGACCTTGTCTTTTTGTCAAGACTTTTTTTCTCTAGTTCTATTTTTGCATGAATCATCAAGGTTCAAATGTATCACTTGTTTGAATGTCATGTCAGTGAGTAGTAGAGTTCTGATACCCTCTGTCCTTGAAAATAATGCAATTTCAAAACATGAATGACTTCACTATGTGTGTACTAAGTAAGTTAGTGCAACATTTCAGGCCATTTATAAGAAATTTACCACATGATTTAGTATGTAAAGATCTTGGTGTATTCAGTGTCTATTTCTGTCTCATGTAATTTGCTTGAGTATCCACACCCTTGATTGCCTGAGTCTCAACGAGCCCTGTTAATTAAATTTCAACTATCCACAATACATCCACTTGTTTCAGTGGTCTTACCTATTGGGCATGTCATATCATGACCACATCCTCATAAACCATCATACCTTCATGTGATCAATGTTTCCACATGTAAGACTGAAATTTTTGTTCAAATCATACACAAACTTTAACATCAATTTGACATTTCCAACTTTATCCGTTTGTGATGCTTTGTCGTTATTCTAAATCTCACTTATTGAGCAATTGAGTTCTCTGTTTGTTATGCTACAATCTGTAAAGTTACACATCTAGGGAACAATCAATTTTTCTTTTTTGGTGGGGGAAGAGTTCTCTAAACAAGATTCTTTTTCTTAACTACAGCTGTAGTAATTTGCGCTTTATTTCCTTAGTGACTAAAAACGGGTCATTTGAAACTGCCTTCTTCACATAAATGTAATCTTCTTATTTTGCATTTTCTCCTACTTCTTATGTTCTTGGCAGTTTGTCAAAATGGTATAATATTATGTGTCCCATGTTAGCTCTTTTAGGGAAAGCAATTGGTTTGCTGCTTTAGAAATTTCATGATTTTCAGTGAGGTTTTTATGTTTTTTCTCAAAAAACATTTAGTTCATTTTGAACTCAGATTTCCATTAAAACACTACGCCAACGTACTTTTTCACGTGTGGCACTTGTTTAAACACAGTGCAGGCTACTGTTGAAGCCTTTATCATTGTGCAATAACATTAATTTTGATTTTTTTGTGAATACTTTTTAATTCAACTCTAATGAAACATTTTACTCAAAGTTTAGATTTCCAAATTTGGTTCTAATGGAAAAAGTTTACTTTCACTTTTCACCTTTTAGAATGAAACATTATCAGTGAGAAATTTGGATTTAAAAAGGTGCTAGCCACTGTGAAAAGATATGCTGGTAAAGAAACATTTTACCTACAGTAGCTTGCATGATTCAATGTCTGTTTCAGTATTTAGCAAATTATATCCTTGAGTTCAGGCATGCAAGGTATGTAATCCTCTTTATATTAATATTGCTTTGGTATTCTTTAGCTTTTTTGCTCAGTCACAAAAGTACCAAACTCAAAACAGAAAGGCAAATGTATTTAGCAGAATATTCAGATAAACAGCACAAGAGAAAAGTACTTCTCAATAGCTCTATGAATGGACAGTCACTGGGCCATGATCCCCAGAGGTTTAAAAAAGTGATATGCAATCAATGTACTTGAGGTTTTCTTTTGGAAGTTGAGCAGTTAAGATTTTGTTATTTTACTCTGAGATTCTCATCATATTTACATTTATGTTCGTATAGCCATTATCTTTGCTTATGAACCATTTAGGAACTGTTTACTTTGCCCAGACAGTTTTGTAGCTTAAAATATCAACACGACATGGTTGCATGTCACGTAATAATCCTCAAGTCTCAAGTGGGTGAATTTTCCTTCAGAATAGGATTGTTTCTACAAAGCACTCGGCTTACAAATAAAATAGAAAGGCATCTTTGTAAACATTGTGCTCCTGGTGTTTTGTCGACACTTGAGATTTAATTGAAAAATTTCCCACCGGGCTTTAATGTTAAGCCATTATTAAACCAGACTGAAGGCTATATTTACATAAAGGAGGAAATCGTTTTTGTTTTAATCTGGGAGCAGTGTCAGCTTGGGGTGACAGGGTCTCAATGCATTTCTGGGACAAAGGCATGAAACATGGCACTTTAACAGCAACATGGTCTTCAGCTTGTGACAAAGTCAGCTGATATAAATCAGACAAAAAGAAAATGTGCCTCTTTCACACCTTTTTGAGCAGTGGCGACAGATCATTGCCTCACTTGATATTGCTTTGTGTTGTCAGTTATAATTCAAACGTGCAAGGGAAGAAATGTATTGATTTTAAAGAAAACATTTACACAGCACATATTAAGACTTTGGTTTTCTCCTTTAATGTCAGAGCTTCTAAAATTACTTCATAGCGACTCATCTCACACTGTTCAAACTTAGCAGATCTCGTGAAAGAACTCATTCCAAGCTGGGAAAAATGAGAATTGGGCAAAGAACTTGAACACAAAACAAGAATTGACATCTATAGTCAAGCAAACCATTCCCATCTTATAGACTGAACATACGTCATGTAAAATGAGATGATCTGAACATCACTCTTGTGAATTTTCTTGTCATTTGGTGATGAAAATTCCCTCAACATTTACTGTTATATGATAATAAAAAAGCAACTGAAAAAGACATGGGAGCCCTGTTAAATGAAGAGTAATTACTCTTTACTTGAAAAGCATTTCCATAAACATGTACAAGTAGCCCTTCTTTGCACTTAAGGCAAACTTCAATGTTCATTGTCACCATTTTCTTACAACCATTTTGTTTGTGTACCTATTTTCCCACTGGATTCTTTAATAAACGATAAAAATTTAATATTTTAAGAGGCATTAATTAGTTTATCCTAAGTTAAGTGGTTGCCAAGATCTAGGATCTCCCTCAGTGTGATTCATGATAAATTGTTATTTAAGTAATCTGCATATGAGCTAGACTACTGAGTGAAAGAAACTAAAATTAAAACTGGTGCTATTAGCCTTTGGGAGATCTCTGTGGGTTGTGTCTGTGTCTATGTATGTTATTTTTTCTCTTTTTTCATTTAGGACGTTCTTTTCAAAATGAGAAATTTAACTGATTTGTTTGTAAAGTCTTTTGGCTAAATGCAAATGGATATAAACATCTATTATGTCTCTCTGTTACTACGCACACTCTGATTGGCCTCTTTAGCAGGTCATATGCTGCCCTACAGCCTGCTGAAATTGGAAGCTGTTTTTGTCGCCAAACTGTCAGATGATTTATCATCAGGTCTTCTTAACTTTCATGATAATTGTTAGATACGTTTTCTTAATAGAAAAAGGTGTCTCTGAAGTCATTGCCACATGACCTTTTTTATTCTTGCATGTCTAAGATGAGCTTTTATAAAAAGCATTTTCTTACACCAGTGCATAATGTGATTTAGACAATTTATGTTGGTTTGAAAATTTACAAACCATGTGGATTGTTATTTTCCATTCTCCGGTATGTGTTATCATAATCTAATTATTAAAAGGAATATATGGTTAAAGTTTGTGTACAATCCAAGTGGCCCATCAAGTCGGCACTTGTCTCCAGTTTCAGTAGCATGAAGTGACTAGGAGTATTTCTACTGCTCCCTGGATGGGATACTAGTCCATCACAGGGTTACCCCCAGCGTTAAATTTGCCAGTATCCAGAAGAGAGGCACTTAAGGGTTAAGTGTCTTGCCTAAGAACACAACACAATGTCCATGGCCAAAAAGATGAAACTGTTCAAATTTCGAGCCCAAGAAAAATATATGTAACAACTACAGTGAGGCCATTACAACAGCAGTATAACTGTTGAGCAGTGCTAATAAAAAGAACTTCAAAATGTTTGGGGTTTTTTGCAACAATGTACAGACTTGACATGCCACCCCTTTGGCATCAGGCCTAAATGATAAGATCAGTCTGAAAACTTAAGTAGAACGCAATTCACAAGTCTGTGGAGTCAAGTGCAGAATTTTGCTTAACTAAAGTAAAATTAAAGTACAGTAAAATGTTGCTTAGAACCCATGAGCTTAGTATGGTGGAACACCTCTGCCATTTTATATTAACTACTACATTTTTGCAGATATGGGGCAGATGTGGATGCCAAAACTGTTTGTGTTACGCAAGGGACATCTTATAATGATACGCCACTACATTTGGCTGCAAGACACAGTCATACAATGTGTATCAAGAGACTTATTCAGGCTAATGCCAATTTATGGACTAAAAATTGCCTTGGACTTACAGCTGAAAGATTTGTGACTGATTCAAGACTTCGGGACTGGATGGAAAGCATCCGAAGTAGACCGAGATCACTACAATTACAGTGCTCTGCGGCAATCAGAAACTATCTTCAACCGGACAAAACAAAAAATGCTATGAAGCTGCCACTTCCGATGCATCTTCTGAGACAAGTTCTTTTTGAGCAAGATATCAAGATTGTATAGCATCAAATTATAATTATATTACTACTACTACTATGGACAAGAATGCCAACAACAGGCGAAGCCCTGGTTTCTCCAAACTGGACAAATGTAAATGGTGTAAAGCAGCAATAAGCTTGAAACAACTTGGTGCAAGAGAGATTTTTTAAATGTGTTGTCTAAAACGGTGTTGCAACATGGTAAATATTAATAGCAGTAACTTGTTGCGCAGCCTTAATCTGTGAGTCTCCTGTCACTATCACTTATTTTCCGCAAACTATCCATTTGGTATTTTTCAGCAGCTCAATCAAGATCTTAATGCTTACTTCATGTAACAGGCCACAGGTCAATAGCCCATTCAGCTTCTCCTCATGGGCTATTGACCAGTAGCCCTCGCAGGCTACGGGTCTAATTGTTAATTAATGTGACCACTGTAACTGAGGGCACTGAGAAAATGAAAAGTAATTACTTCAATGCAGAGTAGGATAGAGAATTTAAACTTTTTTTCCAGGTTGGGAAAAAAATTGGCAATTGGCTTGAACAAGTGAAGTTGTTGAACCATGCTACAAGATGGCATTGTTTTGAACACCTCAGTGGCCCTGTTTGAAGTTTGTGCAATTTAATGAGATCAACATCATCTTTTATTGCCATCAGCTGTTTGAATACAAGTTGTTCTGTGCTAAACAAAAACAGGCATGGTGTCCACCAACCATGTCTGCATGCTTTTGATATATCTTTTGCTGCATAGTTTTGTACGTTTGTTGCCGTAAGCACGTGTATCTCTCTGTTATGAAACTGATTGACTACTCAGTTCTGCTGGCTGTTTCTTGTTATCACAAGTTGCTGTTTGATTGCATTTTAATCCCATGGAAGACACGTAATATCTCGCTTTATAAGCGTCAGTTTACACAATTCTCTATTTTTAAGTTTTTCTATTTTTTATAGCTATTTAAATTTATGTTCCTACGACATCATTCACTTCGAATGACACAATGAAGTTGACTTGTTTAAAAGTCAATTGTATTTGTTTCATGTCACCTATGGTGTTGAACAGGTTACAGCCATCAGATGTACAAAAGAGATTGGCAGTTATGCATGTTTCAGGAAACCATTACACTTAATTAGACCCCTTAATTGGGAAGTCTGTTTGGTTAATGTTGGTATGTTAACAAACTTGAAGTTACAGGTACAGCTGTAATAATGGAGAATTCCCTGTATGAGATGCACCTGCAGGGAATCATGTTAGTTGTATTCATCATCTTGCACTGGATATTTGATTTGATGAATACAGCTACCATGATTCCCTGCGGGTGCATCTTATAGCAGGATTGGTTTCCAATCGTTTTCAAGACCAAACCCAGATTTGTTGGACATTCACCACTGTCATTAACTGTGTAAGCAGTTTTAGTTTGGTTTTGGTGTGAAATCTGATTGGTTGAGCCTATGTCTATCTAGCCAGAGAGGGAACAGAGTATTTTTCAACTTATTCTCTGAATTTACCATCTCTGATGGAGAATAACCTGTTTGTACCGAGTACGTTCTCACCTAGAAACTAGGACAGAGAAGATCACAAGTGAAATCCCTGTAATGCATTCATGCCAATAGTTATCCTTTATTTTTATCTCTTTGCACCCGGAGAGAACTCGATTTTTGACCAGGGCTGCAGGCTCAAACAAGTAAGGACTGGGGCAGAGATGTACTGTGTGCGTTGTCCCCATTTCTTCTCTCCCTTGTTTGCATGACTTAGCAAACAAGTTCTAATAATTATTGGCATTTATAACGTCTACATACATTTGATATACGTCACATATTAAATAAATATTTGTCTCCATTTGAAAGAGACAGGAGAAACATTGAATTGGTACAAATAAAGTAAGACATCTAAAGTCATCTGTGATTTATTTTTGACTGATTTCCATGGCAGTGCGTTCCACCAGTGCGTTGGTCAGCCCATTTTATTCCATTATTTTCTAAAATAATCGACACTCGAAGGGAAATTTTCTTTGGAAATTTTGCAGTCGGTTAATAGTTATTTTAAGGTGACTCCCAAGAGTATTTACGACAAAGTTAACAAAAAAAACGGTATTTTATAGGAATTGTATGTAGTTACAACTGAGCTAAATTAAAAAAAAAATCACCGAAGGAAACGCGAGAAAATTTACTGTCAGATTTGCTTTTTGTGCTCATGTTGACGTCATAAAAATCGAAAAACACTGACGTTTTCCTTTGAGCGCGCGCAGATTACTTGAACTTTTGTCCTATGCGCACGTGCAATCCTCGAACTATAGGGAGCCACCGTAAACTCGCTAATAATTCATCAAGTTCATCACCGTGACAGTGTTTGGATCGGATCTTGATTAGCATAGATACTTAGTTTAAGTTTCGATTGAGAAGATAAATCAAACACTTCAGACAGTGTTTGACCGCTTTCCAAAAACCTCGCAGTTGATCAAAAATCCTCCGCTACGCGTCGTATTTTCAACTCTCTTCTCGGTGTTTTGAAAAGTGGTCAAACACGGTCTTTCGTGTTTGATGTATTACTCAAAGGACTTATCGAGCAGGGTGGGGGTGGGAAGGGTTGAGAATTGACCACCGACAAGGCAAGAGAATAGCAATGGAGACCAGCTTGGGAGGTTTTCTCTAGAAAGTGTTGCTGCGAAAGGAAAAATACTTCGAGATGGCGAGGTTTGAGATAATCAGTAGTAAATGACCGAATAAGCATACTTTATCCTATAGGCTCCTTGTGGAGCAAAGGGCGTCGAATAAGCATATTCAAGGGGAAATGAGTTGAAGTTCAGCTGTACTGGACAAATTGGGACAAGTGTTTTTTAGATATATTTGGCGTGTAAAGCTTGTGTTTTAAACGGGTTACGTATGGTCAAAGGGTGAGGATGGAGACGAGCGCCCATCCTCTAGAAAATGCTTCTATCATGACTAGCGTTCATGACCTATCATAACCGAGTTCCTGCGAGACGCGTACTCGTCCCGGGGCTCCCACTCTGGAGGTGTGAGGGCGGGTGGCTGGCGCCATAAAATCAGCTTGCTCCGGGCAGATGGGGCTCGCAGCCGTAAAAAGGCAGTCTGTCTGGGAGAAGGAAAACGCTGATTCCAAACCCGGGTAACTGGACACTCGTTAGCCCTGGAGAGCAACCACCTAAGGGATCGCTCTATATTTATCGCCTTATGGGAGGGGTGGTGGTGGGGGGGGGGGGGGGGGG